TGTGGACTTCAACTTCCCAAATCCTAGGAGTTGAAGTCCACACATCTTAAAGTTCCCAAGGTTGAGAAACACTGATCTGCGTGGTTGTTAAGGGTCAACACCAACTGGACGGTACACAGCCAATCATGGCTTGCAGAAGGGAAAACGGTGCTGTGGTGGAGAGAGGCAACGGACTTTGCATTCCCCTTTGAAGACCCCGGAAATCATGCTGTGTGTGTATTTTTCCCCCCGGTCATCGGAGCAATATTTCAGCCAGGTTTCCTGTGCTTTCTCCAACAGGAGTGGGAAGTATTTGCTGAGTGGCAACACCAACGGGCTCATTACAGTCTGGGACACCACCCAGCCTCCTACCAGTGACCCTCCAGCTGCGTTACAGCCCATCCTGCAGTTCCAGGCTGTGGGGGACTGCGTTAATGGGATCAGGTACAGATGGTGGTCGTTGGGGAGGAGAAAGCGAGGTCTGCCTTCTGGTTTTTAGATTGGGGTCTGCAATCCCATAGTGGTTTGTGTGAGGAGAGACGTAACCCTGAAGCTTGTAGGGTGTGCATTGCAGTGACCTGGATGTTCTCCCCCAGGTACAGTGTTAACCCAAAGTGTGCAGAAAGACACTGTTTGGACCAGCTCCTTCTGGTCTGTTCTCTCCTAATGAGTTGGACTTCAACTCCCAGAATCCTTAGCTGTGCTAGAGAGGGATTCTGGGAATTGAAGTCCACCACATTTGCAAGGGGCCAGCTGGGAAGAAGGAAAACTGTTCCAGGGCAGGGCAGCTCCAGCTCCAGCTGTGCACCTCTGGATCTGGTGCAGCCCATCATCCATGTGATGTTTCTGCTGACTTCAGCACAGAGCGAGTCCTCTTTCTGGTAGTTCCCCCAGCTGTGGGCCGTGCTCAACACAGAAGAGCAGGGAAGTCGTTCCAGATGTGGGAGCTGGAGGCCTGGGGGTGATTCTGCCTGATTTTTCTGCCTCTTTCTTCAGTCTCCACCCCAGCCTACCGCTGTTGGCCAGTGCCTCGGGCCAGCGTAAATTTCCTGACCTGCTGGACAGCGGGGAGGACGAGGAGAAAGAAGAAGGGGACCGTCTGCCCAGTCGTCCTTGGCCGCAGGGCGACAACTCTCTTCGGCTGTGGTGGTGCTCCTTGGCCGCTGGAGTCGAGGAGCCCGCTTCCTAGCGGAGAAACCCAGACTCCATCTGTGGCCTCTTCTCTGGGTCATGGAACTGCGAGTGGAACAGCAGCTGGGCCAAAGGCTGACCTGCCCACGCGTTCCAGGACGGTGCATATGGAAATGGCTCCTGGAGGGCATGTGTGCATCCCTTTGCACGGACATGGGAGCTTGTTCTGGATAGAGGACAGGAGTTGTGTGAAGGCCCAACTGGAAAGGGGTGTTTCAAAGAGGAGACAGCCCAGAGGGGTCTCGGTGGAAGCCCAAATCTCCCACCCCGGCCTCACTCCTTGGCTGGAGAAAGGGGCCCCGGGAGGGCCTTTCTCTCTCTCTTTCAACGAAAGGAGGACGATGGACTCTTTCGCAGGTTTCTTCTTCAGGAGTTCCTCTCTTCTCTGCTACGTCAGTGGTTTTCCTGGCTCTGCCCACCTGTCCAGCAGACGGGCTTTGGCAATGACTTCTGGAACCAGGGAGGACTTTCTCCGGGTTCGGGCTAAACGTACCTTTTTTCACCGCAAAAAATGCGTGGTTTTCATCTTCTAATGAAAGATTTAATAAAAGCATATTTCAGAGGATCTGTACGGTTTGAAGTCTGTCTCACAGGGCAAATCCCAAAGTAGAAAAGGAGCTGCGTTGGGGAATTTATTTATTTGCTTATAAAAGATACAGCCCACTTTTCATTAAGTTGCCTGGAGCCAGCTCAGCTAAGGTGGGTGGCCGCACCGATGTTCCGAACAAATAAATAAATGCAACCAGATTGCAAATATCTTCACAACAATTCAAAATCAAATTGGGGCACAGCAAAACCTAGTAAAAACTCCCACCCTTTGAAGCCCCATAAAACAGTTGCGTGTTCATTTGTATGGCTGGGTTTGCTCATCTGCAGAGAGACCTGAAAAAAAAATAGGCTACTCAGTGCTTCTTAAGTTCTGAGACTTTTTAAGTCCATCTTACAAGGAGAATCTTAATTTTTTTCAGTTTGAAGAACCTTGCCCCCTACAAACATCAGCTGGAAAATATATTGAAAATGCACACTTTTAGCTGAGAGGTTACATAAAAATGAGAAACGAGAAGGCCCTGAAGCACAGGGGGTCCCACACCCTCCTTAGCACAGCTTTCATACTGGCGGTTAGGCGTGTCTCTGCCTAGTTTAAGACGCTGATACTTTACACAATTTATTTACACAATTTATTAGCCGCCCATCTCACTTTTTCAAGTGACTCTGGGCAGCGTGCATTTTGTCGCTGTTTTTTTAGTCCTGACAAAAAGTCATCAGAAATGGTTCATTTTAGGGAGTTGCTGAGCAGTTTAAAATCTCCAGCTCTGGATTTCGTGTGCATTTTTTTGGCTTCTCAAACCATCATTTTCACGTACGTGCGTGTTTTTTTTTCCGTGACACATTCTGCTGTCTTTCCCACTCTGGAACTTGCAGTTGTACAGAACTGCAACCATATACCCATGCACGCACAAACCCAGCCAGTTAGGCAGCTGGGCTGGGCTGGTTGGGGATAATGAGTCTCGTAGTCCAACACTGCCAGAAGAAGAGCATGTAAGGGTCACGGAGTGCCACAAGGGGGCAGATTCCAGGATCCCTCCCCACCAGATTAGCTCTTGGAAATCCAACAGATTCTCCAGAACGGGCCTTTTTCAATGCTTCCTGCTATCCCCACTCTCCCCTTACCCTGTTCACTCTTGGGCCATTCCCAAGAAAAGACAGATCCATTTGCAGGGAATTCTGAAATTCCCTTGGAAGAAATGCAAGATCGGGACGGGGGGATCTCCCGTGGGAGGCACTAAACGTGGCATTGTTAGCTGGTTCGTGTGAAACTTTCTGCCTTGCAGGAAAAGTTACGGAGATACTGGGAAAAAGTCTTCGCAGGAGGAGAGGTAGTGTTAGTCTACGGTAGCAAAAAAATCAGGAGTCTGTTAGCACCTTTTCCGACGCACCAATTTTATTCAAAGGCAGAAGCTTTCGTGAGCTGCGTCTG